CTTTATTTGCATTGATGTAAGAATAAGAGAATGTTTTCTACTATTGAGCTTCCAATATGCAAGCATATAACTAAATGCAGTGTGGCTGTATGCTGGGTAGGTTGGTGAACATCCTTGAAAAGCGTTTTAGTATAAGTACTCAAAAAGGTCAAGACTTGTCGGGCGTTTAGCTTGAGCCAAATTGAAGTGCTTAGAATAACGAATATTGTCAACCTCCTTTTACGCTTCACCTCACAGCTAGCTTCATTTCAGTTGAACTTGTATGGTGCGATTGTGTAACAACTATACTCCTTGTTTCTATGCTTTTCCCTGCCATTAGCCATCTTTGATAGGTCGAAGCATCATTGCATTGCAGACAACTAATGGCACGCTTCGACCAATTGCAGACGGCTAATGGTGGCGAAAAGCATAAACAAAAGGAAAAAAAATCATTCCGCTCTTGCACCCAGGCACATCTTGTCCACTCACGCTAGAATTCTATTTGCTAATGGCTGGGTGTGTGCGTATGTGTGAATGTGTCATGTGCTTGCACTCAAATTAATTTTTTTAAATTGCTAATGGCAGCTTCTGTGACTGGGGAAAGGTAAGTGGATTGTGCATTTCAGCTTGAACGTATGCGTAAGATGCTACAAAAAACTTCCAAGTTTTTTAGATTCTTGCATGCTTCGCATGCAAGAATCTGCCAGCTTTTGGCATGCTTCTTTGGTTGCATAAATGAATTACTAGATTTAAGTCGGAGTTTTTTTATTTTTGTCTGGATGTTATGTATTCTGTTTGCTACAGACCTTTGAAGATGCTGTTGAGTAAGTTGCCTTGCAGATGACCCAGATACGTTGTCATTACAAACGGTAGGGTGTACAATACATCATTCTGATTCAATAATGTCTGTTGCATCGTAACATAGCGTGTGTATATATTTATATATATGCATACATTTTTTTCTTCTGACTGAATGCTTTTTTTTTCTTCTTTTTTTTTAAGTACAAGCACAAGCTTTCTTACTTGTATGTAGCAGCTTCTGCTTCAATTACACATGCCCTTTTCTGTGGCTTTTTGGTGCAAAAGAGCAATTCGCTATTGTTTTTTTTTTTTTTTTCATATGGTCTCTTGGCAATGATTTCATTTTTTTGCATTATGTGTAGGTACGAGTGTCCTACCTTCATACTGACAATTGTTTTTATGTGCTTTGGCCAGTGGGGTTATTGAGGAAGTGCAGCTGTGGTGTTGACCGAATTCACGCATCTTTGTTTTTTAGGGTTAATGGTGTACTTAACAGTGAAAGATTTTTTTTATGTAATAAAGCTATTACCTTTATTTTTATCATTGTTATTGTAGACGACATGTAAAAGAAACGAGTATTTAATGTACTATTGGTCTCTATTTTTTCAATATACATAATATATTATGTCAGTGGATGTATGCTGAGTAGTTTCGGCCTGTGCTGCTTTGTAACACAAGGTGCAAGGATGACTGATAATGTGGGAATATATTTTTTGTCGGTGCATTGTGCGTGCTTATTAATAAAAGATTGTTTTGGTAAATAATAAAGCAATGTGCACTGCGTGGTGATACTGTGTCGGTGTAATCATCGCCTTTAATTAGTTGCATGAAAATATTTCATACATCTATGTAATTGTTGCTTGTGAAATGGAATGCATGATTTGCAGAGGGCTTTGCAACACTTTCTTTTATCGAAATGTCGTATTTAAAGATGTGAAGCCACCAAATTTCTTAAAACTGATTTGGAAAAAAAAAATTCCAAGGGGGACATTAAAAAATCTTTGACTGTATTCTGGAGGTTATAGAAAAATGTTTTGGAAAGTTCCGAGGCAGTCCTGAAATGTAATGCTGGTAACATATTTTATTTCGACATTAAAGTCTGCTTTGTTAGTAAAAACACACCCAAAAACAAAAAACATCGATGCACCAACTCTATGCGATACCGTGCATTTTGAGGGAGCCTGCTAAGGCCTACATAATTCTTGAGCATTAAAAATTAATTTCGTTGTGCCTCAAGAATGTTGTAGAGATTTACCGTGGCAAATTCTAAGAAATTTATTGAGGTAATCCTGGCCAAAATGTGCAAAACAAAAATGATGATGCTTTGCTGCACTTTGGCACCTAGTTCAGGTAGGAAAGTGTTTACATAATTTTCTCTTATAATAAACCTGTAATTGCTACATTTGCTGTGGTGGTATTGAAGAATATTCAGCCTATGCAGTTCTTGTGTTTGCAAGCCTTTAAATGAATGCAGTAATATGAAGTTTAATTGTGCTCTGAAAGGCTCATGATTCGCTTTGAAGTTTCTGGCCAGGTTTGCTGCATGCATTGAGAGTACAGTTCAGTCTGTCCACACCATCCTGCTCGTGCTGACTGCTAGCAGAAATGTTTGCAGTGCTATGGCGTAAGAAAAAAGAAATCGCAGCATATCCACGGAGTGAATGATGATTAGTGGGGCGAAGCGTCCGTCAGCCCGTCCGTGCTTCCGTCCGTCCGCGCGACCACCCGTGCGTCCATCCGTCATGGCGTCCATTCGAACACTCCAAGTACCGCCATCTTGCATCCCGTGTGGCACATACCCGCTCTGGAGCAGTATATAGCGAAGGATCTACAGACCCACGCCTTAAGGAGCTTCGCCCCTAAAACGCTTAAAATTTAAGTTAAGCTTCGTGAAGTAAATAGCAGGAGGCCCTCGTAAAATGAAGCTGATATATTTATAAGCTAACTGTAGTTGAGCCGAAGCTCGGAACTCTACTGGTTTGTGTGTGTGCAGGTAACATTAAAGGGACACTAGATAGAAAAACTAATATATCATCCAGGTGGGCCTCGTCGAACATTGGTACAACGAATCGTCGGTTACAGTGCACTAAATGACTTTGGTTGGTGAAACTTCATTTCAATGACATTTACTCTTTTAATAATTAAAAAAAAATCTAAGAATGCGAGATCTACCACGATAGCGGCTGTATCGAAGAAGTATTTGGATAGCACGAGGCTCAAACTAGAAAGGCAGCATAAAAATCAAAATAAATGTGTAAATACAAGTCTTTACCACATTTGCGCATTCTTCTTCAAATCCATGTGAATACAGCCCTGTTGTGTCGTATTTCCACCCCAAGTTCTAGGGTGCCTTATTCTGGATATTGTCGAATCCCACCATGACTGATTAGCCCGGACGGCTGCTACCCTTGGGTGCTATTCTGGACATTGCTGAATTCTGCCATGTTGTCAGATTTCGACATTGAACGAAGTGCATTGGCCAAGTCAGCTGCTACGACCTCCCTGATGGGTTTAAAATGCCGCCATTGCAAAATTCGACAATATGGCGGAATTAGACAGTGTCCAGGATAGCACCCCTTCTGATTGCAGGAAGCGCAAGGCGCGTGTCAAGCAAACAGCCAACACAAACTCATGACGTACGTTTGTTTACACTCCCGCCGCATTGATGTTGGCCTCGCGAGGGGTTCCGCATCTCGCTCAGTCGTGCATTTTAAAAGTGTTTTGAAATTCGCCCTCGATATTTCGTAAATGTTTTGTATGTTACCTCACAAATTTATATCACCATAAACTTGTCTTGGAAACTTTGTAACATCGGCTGCTGACCCGCAGGTCGCGGGTTCGAATCCCGGCTGCGGCGGCTGCATTTCCGATGGAGGCGGAAATGTTGTAGGCCCGTGTGCTCAGATTTGGGTGCACGTTAAAGAACCCCAGGTGGTCGAAATTTCCGGAGCCCTCCACTACGGCGTCTCTCATAATCATATGGTGGTTTTGGGACGTTAAACTCCACATATCAATCAATCAAACTTTGTAACAGTGCTTATGAAAAAAAAATCTAAAATAAAAAAAGAATAACGAATTCAACGCAGTATTTTGCTAAAAAAATTGATGCAGGGAGAAAATTTTTTATCTGTCTTTGTCAATCAGTGGTTACGTTTTCGATCTTTTTCGGCAGTTTCGGGGGCTGCAGAACCGCGAAAGCGTGACCTTCGAGACTTTAGTGCAACTGGGTGCTGCGGCACAAATTAATTGCACTGATCGTAACGTTACAGAACTAAAAACAATATATTTACAAAAATACTCGTTGAGCACAGTCAAGCATTTATTTATTTTTGTTATTTACTTAAAACAAGAGGCATTTGTGTAGTTAAAGATTAACTTTCTCTGAGGCTACGCTTTGTATGGCAGAACAAACCAAAATTAGGCTCAAAACTAAAAAAAAAAAAAACTTGTGCTTGAACAGTTATTTAAAAAATATTTTTTTGTCTAAACTACATGTTCTAAGGGCTATTCATTTCATTTCATTTATTTATACTGTTAGCCCAGAAGTGGGCCGTTACAGGGTGGAAGTACAAACAATTATTTGCAAAAAAGAAGTACCGTACAGGTCTCGAGATAATTTCTCGGTACTATTGTGACCAGCAACTCGAAGTTATACATAACATACATAAATGGAACACACATGCGATGCAATACATACGCGCAGAACAGCACATGACGCATTTGAGGCGGCACTTTTGCACCGCGCTGAAGATTTGAAAGACAACTACTGCAGGATCATGCAACCAACAAAAGTACACACACACGCAAAAAAAACATATGTCACTGTTATTCGGAAAATAAACGTTTTAGATTCTGTTCAAATGATGTAAGCGAGGAACAACCAATTATAGACTCTGGCAGCATATTCCAATCTTCAATAGCACGTGGAAAGTAACTGAACTTAAAGCAATCGTTACGTGGGACTAGGGGTGGTATATACATATTATGGCGATGTCTGGAGTGTTCTTGTGTGTTGACCTGGAAGTAATCTGAATACAGAAAGACGTTTGTTTACAACCAAAGTTACTTAAAACAAGAGGCATTTGTGTAGTTGTGCTTGGCTTGTGCCTGTAAATTGTAATAATACACGTCATAGCCCCCATCTTTGAGACCATTTTGTTCTCTTTTAATCAAATGTATCGCTCAATCTTTGCTCAGCTGGCCACACTGTGTCGAGCGAATTCAGTCAGCGACCAATGGCCAATCGTAATAGTCCTATTTAAACTGTGTCTCGAGAAGACGTCCGTTCCTACCTCTTTTCGGGCTGTCAATGTGTGTGCGCGATTAATTAGCGTGTTCTGTTTCGACCCGGCCGCTTGCGTCCACCAAAACAATGGCTGCGCAACTGGGTGGACTTAGAATCGGCGCCAGCGTCGACATTCAACGAACGGACGGTAAGGCTTCGCCGACCTGGGCGGACTTTTTTTTTTTTTCTCTCATTGAACCTAACCCTAAAGTGAAGCGAGCCAGTGCTCGCCGCGAAGATTAAAAAATAAAATAACGCCAGGGTTTGACCCGCTTTCTGAGAGATGCGCGTTTTGTTTTTATCACGGGGGAACGGTCTCGCCAAGTCCTGCGGGGTTTCACCCTTATGTTAAGCGCGGGCTAGGTGTGTTTGCGTGATGCCGTCTGCAACCGAAAAACACCCTGCTTGTCGATAGCCGCCCTAGGATGGACCTCCCGAGTCTCTTCTCATTTCGGGGGCGGGCTGAATTTCTGTGCCAGTGAGGCCAATTAACGGCTCATCCCGCAAAACTTTATCCCTACGCGCGCTTGCTATAGCGAAACCTTTATTGCCAAGGGTTCCCTCCGCAGTGTGTGCAGAGGCTACGGCTTCATTGCGGGTCTGCTAACTGCTACGCGGTGAAACAATGACTGTTTGGACAACGTTAGGAAAAAAAATGAAATAAAAGCGTTGCGCTGCTTTGCAGCGTGCTCGGAGACGTGCTACCGTTTCTTCCTTCCGCGAAAGCGACTCCACTTCGGTGGTGTGAAATTCAAAACTGCGGCTTCGGAAAGCGCGGGCGGAGATATAGCGGTTCGTTATCCTTCGACAAGGCGCGACCGTCAGGCGTTTGGTCCGGGCATGCATTACGACTGCTTTCATCGAACCCGTTCGCCGTCCCGTCGTTTCTAACGAACCGGAAGTGAAAGAAGGGAAAAAAAAAATCGACCGAGCACGTAAACGAATTAGCGTCCGAGAAGTGTGGGATGCTTCGTTCTCTCCGCTTCGTCTCTGGATCAGGGCCCCTCCCTCTCCAGTCAAGGCCAAACGCAGACATTCACGGTCGTTTAACTCTTTTTTTTTTTTTTTTTTAATGTCGTCCCCTATGCTGTTGGTTGGGTTGTTCTGGCGCGTTTCTACGCCCGAGATTTCGTTCTATTTTCTTTCGTGCTTCGCGACGCTGAATTGTTTCACTGCACCCTTGGCGGTCGATGTTTCTTTCTTCTATCGATCTGGCTGGGTTTTCTCGGCCCTTTCCGTAGCTCGGGCTCTGTGTGCTCGATTTTTTGGACTCGATTCTTCGCTCACGTTTCGCGTATTGGCCTGGCTCCCCCCCCCCCCCCCCCTTTTTTTTTTTTTTTTCAAAGTAACAATCTCCGAGGCGCATCTAGTAACAACGTCGGGACACTCTTGTTTCCCCGCCGAAGTGACTGCGTAGTGTTCACCATGTCGGCAAGAAGCGCCGCTTTCCTCGTAAAGACTTTTTCAGACCGCTCTGTATACGACCTGCGGGTCTTTTTTTTTTTTTTTTTTGTCATAACCCTCTGGCTATGGGATGAACTGGTGCGCGCGAAAGAAAATGCGGCGCTTGACATACAAAAACGTGCGGCCTGCGCTAGTCCGCGCGGCACACGGCGATTTAGGCATCACTCGCACTGTTCCTCTCGCATAGCCGGATTTTTTTTTGTTTTTTTTTTTTCACGCCGCCCGGTTGACCCGCAAGTGTTGTTTTGTGTGATGTCGGGGCGGTCCCATGTCTCGCTTTGTTTACCGTTTCCGTTTAGTGGCGGTATAACGGGTCGTGCCTGCTGTTCTTCGGTTTTTTTTTTTTTTTTTTTTGTCGTTGCGTCTCTGTCACACAAGCGCACGTGTCTTTCGTCTTCACTTGGCTGCTGCCTCTTCGCAACAATTTTTTTCAACCCAGTTCGCTTGTGACATGTCCTGTCACGACATTTCCGGTGCCTAAATGTCCGCCTTACGTTTTTTTTTTTTTTTTTTTGGTGCCTTCGCTCGCTCGTCTGTGGTTTTTACCACGCTTGTCTCGCGTGTGCAAACATGTCCCGAGTGCTTTAAAAAAAGAAAAAAAGCCCGTACATAGCTATTTCGTTCTATTGCCGCCCCGCAATTTTTTTTTCTTTATTAGATGTAAACATTAGCCCCACATTTCTCGTTTCGCATTCCGACGGCCCTAGTGTCATATTTGAGCGAGTGACTGCTGTCTTCTTTTTTTTTTTTTTAGTTGACGCGCGAACGGCCTAGACACCGCGGAAGCATGCACTGACCTGTTATATCTGCAGGCGCCGCAGTTGGGCATTTTTTTTTTTTTTCATTAGCGGCCCGCAATTTACTTTCGCTACGGACGTTTCACTTTCTTTTACGTCACATCCGGCGTCGCGAGGCGTTCGGCCACCTTGCGGTTGGCGATTAGTAACGAGCAGTGAAATTAATCTAATCTAGGTTAACTCGGCGACCTCGAGGCCTGCACCCTAGCCAGCTGTAGCGCTGTCTCTACTGCACGCTACTAACGACGGCAGGAGGAGCGATGTTCCCTGTCAGGCGTTTAGTGTGTGCGGTCCCGTGCGCGGAAAAGCGGCGTGTTCGAAATAGAAAGCCAGAAACGAATAATTACAGCTGCGCGGTGGCACGTAGTACGGCTTAAACTCCGCTGCGCATTCTTTTTGTCCCCTACCCATGTTTTTTTAAAGGATAGTGAGGTCACTGGCGCGCTTAGTCACAGTTCATCGGCTTTTTTTCGCGCTTCGCTGCGCAATGAAAAAAACTAATGCCGATAGAACGCGCATTGGTCTGGATTCCTACAGCGGGCACCTAGTGATGCCGAGTGTTGTGTTCGGGATCTGTCGTCGTCGTCGTCGATTCGCTTTAGCGCGCGTTTCGTTGTTGACGGCACGGGCGGTGTTTCTTTCCCGTTTCGGACGAGCGGCCGTTTACCTTAGCTGTCCAAATATTTTTTTTTCCTCTCGCGCTCAAGGAGCCGCCATTGTAGCTGCTCTGCACAACAGAGTTCTTCTGGTCTTATTGCGGCCATAGTTTCCTGTAAATACACTGCAGAGAACTTAGGCGCTTTTGTTTATGGGTGCTGCAACGCACGACTCTTCTGCAAGCATGGGAAGAATGAGTAGTACCTGGATTTGTCTAATCATCGGCTCGTCTAGTGGCTAAGGTACTCGGCTGCTGACCCGCAGGTCGCGGGATTGAATCCTGGCTTCGGCGGCTGCATTTCCGATGGAGGCGGAAATGCTGTATGCCCGTGTGCTCAGATTTGGGTGCACGTTAAAGAACCCCAGGTGGTCTAAATTTCCGGAGCCCTCCACTACGGCGTCTCTCATAATCACATGGTGGTTTTGGGACGTTAAACCCCACATATCAATCAATCAATCGATCTAATCTTTGGCTCCGTGTCCGCTTTGTCCCGAAATAACAATCGGCAAATGTTCAGAAGCTGCGCCTCTCAGCCTTTACCCTTTCAGGCTCACCGATTCGAATCGCATCCCGAAGGTCACAGTGGTCCGTTCTTTTATTCGAAACGATATCAAAACGCAACAATAAACAGTCACAAGTGCGTTGTTCCAAGCCGGCAAGCACGAAGACTGGAGCAAGTGTGTGTGTACTACCCATCATTCCCGCGGTGTCTGGAAGATCGAAGTGCCAGAGTCCCCTCTGGTTCATTTTATGAAACTCTTATTACGGTGTCACCCCCCTTTCGTCCGCATTTACTCAGCCACCGTATTCGCTCGCTTGCAACCTTAGAAAAAATTTCGTGGTTCCTCCCACGGAACCGTGGTGTGCCTTTCTGGTTTCCGCTCAAGCCATGTGTACTATTCCTCGCCCGCATCTTCCCACGGGGGGAACTCGAGTAAATGCGTCGCAGAGTGGTGCGAGTATCGCCTGAATGTTGCGTAATTAGGTGGGGTTTGGCAATGCCTGATTGTTGTTATAGCGAAAGCTGTTGCGAGGTCACAACACGGGTCAATTGCAGTGCCGTAGTTGTCCGCCGCCGCCGCCCGTGTCCGTAACAGATATCGCACTAAAGAAAAACAAACTCAAATTAAAACCAAAGACATGTGGTCACGTAATGAGATTCGAACCCGGGTCCACTGAGTGCCAGCCCAGTACTCTACCGCTGAGCCACGCCGTGCCAACTGCCGGGTGACAGTTGGCCCGAGACGCGAGCATGAGCAGTCGGGTGGGGGGGGGGGGGGGGTTCATGGAGGCGCTGACGCCGAATTTGCGAGTATAGGTGCGACTATGAAATGTTCCCCATTTAATATAACGTGTGTTAAAGCCTAATGAATCGTCGTTGAAACTTGAAACATTACGTTTGGTTGAGCAGCAATGTCAAAATTCCCGGTGGAATTTACTGAGACGTTGGTTTCAGACCTATAGCCACGAAGGACGTGCGTTTGTTTGGGGAGAAAGCTCGACTCCCTGAAACGCTGTAGAGAGAGAAAAAACTTTATTGGAGTGTCCCTGCTGGGGTCAAAGGTGGCGGGGGGGCCGGGCCCCTCTGTAACCCCCTTCCTCGGGCGGCGGCCAGACCTTGAATCCAGGTGGCGTCTTCAGCCAGCCGGACAGCCCAGAGCTGGTCCTCCGGGCACGTGCTGAGCAGCAAAGCCTCCGAAGTGCTTGAGCGCATTAATCAGGACGGAGAATTTAAGCCAATTCTCAATGGAAGGCACAGTGGTGACCGGGGTGGGGGGGTAGCAAACATCTCAGTTTGTGAAGGAGATGACTCTGACAGTCAACGTAACGCAACCCTTGCAAGTGCTGCCAATGCTCGATTGCGTTGGCTGTCGGCTTTTGCCCAATCTCATGCGTCTTAAGCCGACCAATCAGTTGTCTTACAATTTTTCATTGATCTGTTTATGCTGTATCGTTCGCGACCATCACACCTCGTGACCATTGGCGCATGGCCGACAGGTGGCACACCGCGCGCGAATACCCTCCCGAAATTTCGTGGTCAAGGAGGGACACAGAGCGCAAGACGGACCGCATTTGCCCGAATCGAGGCCGTGCCCCCATCGAAACAAATTTCTGGCTACGCCACGTCATCTGACAATATCGTTGACACCAGCAGTGCAGTTTCGTATCGGGCTTGTGGTCTATTGCTTTGACAGTGTTTCTTGTGCAGTCTACCTGCTTGCTCGGTGT